CCCCTACGAAAAAAAAAAGGTTAGGTTTAGGTTAAGTTAGTCAGCGAAAAAGTGCAAATAAAAAAAGAGCTGAGTGGCTTTAATCAGCGAAAAATAACTATCTATTTCATATCTTGAAAAAAAACATATCCGTAGCAGCCTGGAAGGCTTTAGTCATTCAAAAAATATTAATATTAAATTATTTGTCGGCTCTGCACAGCTCTGTCCAGAGCTCTGAATACTATCAGGTATACAGTACAGGACCATCGTGCGGGCCCTTTATGCCCCCCCCCCCATAAAGTATTATAATTTGTGCAATTCATGCACGACCGTGTCAGTGCTGAATGTCTAATCATTGTAAAGAAATGATACTGTGTCGTCCAGCGGAACTTCTTGTAATCAGTAAGCAGTAAGTACGTACTGATCAACAAATACAAGTAAAACACCAAACATACTGGGCATAACAATCACTAATACAAACCTATACATAAAAGCAAAAGAATCGCTCGACCTTCATTCAGACCATACTCCTATAATTTTCACACTGGAATATGAGGCAGCACCAGACGGAAAAATAATGCTAACAAATAACACAACAGATTGGTCCGCCCATAAAGAAAAAATAATCAATAACTTAAATTTTAATAAACCACTAAAACATGAGCAGGGCATCGAAAAAGCAGCGAAAACATTAACCATCATTTTACAATTAGCAATTTATGCTTCCACAAGATACAAGAAGGAAACCAAAAACATATCAGAAAGAAATTCAACTTCGGCGGCTGGAGCGCAAAGGCTCACGCCGCCAAAAATTTCGAAGAATTCGCGCCGCCAAAGCGCAAGACTGGAAGCTAAGCACAAACCAATCACATCGAGCACAATGCCAGCGGTAGCTACAGAAATTTCTATTTAACCGCGAACTTTTCGAATTGGACATCAGAATTCACCGAGCAAGGAAAGAGCGCACTTGGAAGATGCACACTATCGAGGAGCGAAGTTTTATCGTAGAAGAGTATTTCTCTATGCGTTCATATACAAAATACCAACGAGCATTTTAGGAGAAATTTCCAGATTTTTTGCCGCCGATTAAAAGTAACATCAGCCGCTTGGTGCAAACATTTCGTAGAACCGGGAGCGTCTACAATGCCACACGCTGTCGCAAATCCACGGTACTAACTGCAAGCAAGTTAGACGAAGTCCGAAATCTTTTGGAAGAAGAACCACACACACCACTGTCAAGAATCGAACAACTAAGAACCTGCACACGCGATCATACCGCTGCCAAATCGTGCAGCAACTTCAGCAGTCTGATTTTGCTGCAAGAATCAAATATTGCAAATGGTTTTTGCAATTTCTGCAGGTGAAAGGACCAGCAGTGATGGACACGCTGTTTTTCAGTGATGAAGCCTGGTTCCATTTAAATGGATATATAAATTCCCAGAACAGCAGAGCCTGGTCGACGACAAACCCGCATGACTTTTTTGAACAACCATTACACTTCAGTAAGGTAGGCGTATGGTGCGCCATATCCCGGAAACGCATCGTTGGACCAATATTTTTCGAGTAGACAGTGACGGCCGAAGCGTATGAAGAAATAATTACGCAGTTTATTTCACTATTGGAGCCAACTGAAAGATACTGTTGGTTCCAACAAGACAGTGCCCCAGCCCATACGGCGTCATCGACCATAGAACTACTGCACGAATTTTGCGGCGAACGGATCATCTCGCGTCGATTATGGCCACCACGGTCGCCCGATCTGACGCCCCCAGATTTCTTTCTCTGGGGAGCGTTAAAATGTAAAGCATACATAAGCAGTCCCCGTACCTTGGAGGAGTTAAAAGAAAACATCCAAAGATCCATTTTGGAAATTAGTGAAGATACTTTGAAGAAGGTATTTGAAAATATGAGAAGGAGGATACGTGCCTGCTTAGCGTAAAAAGGAGGACAACTTCAACACCTCTTATAAATTTCAAACAATCGGCCCTTATCAGGGCCACCAATCCTTAACGAGGACAACATGGTTCAATTAATTTTCAGTATACAATGTTCCTTAAGCCACGAGAATTCGTCTCAGTCTACATCTGAAAAATATCAAATAGCGAAATACGCTGCTTTCATATTAATGACAATAAGCCATAGTTTCTTCGTTCATAAAAATTCGTGATGTTTGGCTCTCTGCCGATCGCGCCCGAGATTTGCCGAGCCGAGCCAAGCCTATTCGAAGTTCCACTGCTCGTCGTGCATACTCGTATCCCGAATCGAATCTCGGACCAGAGTTCGGTCGATTACCAACTTACCTCTAGAGATTTTTACATCGCAGCAATGGTTTGCGGGGAGCGCATCTATCGAATTTTAGCGCTGTTGCCACATTCATGAGTTCGCGCGCGCACGAATTCCAAGATAAATGGTAGTCACTGTATACCAGACTATTCCATCCTTCATCTACTAACCGATGTCACTGCTCAGTCGAGCGTGACAATTTATTACCCAAAACATCGGCTTCTCGCTTTCTTACTTTGCGGGTGACTTCAAACAAAGAAGAGGGAATAGAGATTTGCTTATTTCGGGCCGGAAAACTGTTGCTTATTACGGATCAAAACTGTATATCAAACGATAACAAAACCAATTTGGACATATGGGACATAAATTTGGACATACGGGACAGCTAAATTAAATATAAAGAAAATGGAAATTGTTTAATCAATTATATTAAAATCTATATTAAATGCACCATGGTTTATCAGAAACGATAACAAGAAGAACGCTACAAATCCCCACCGTTGAAGAGGAAACTGTAAGATATCAAGAGAGAATGAAAAAACACACAAATCCTCTTGCTAACCCTTATCGGTCATAAGTCACCTCTCACGTGACAACAGTACTTTGTCGCTGCGGTTGTACATCACGCGGGAGGTGACAAGACGGAACCTATCGAAACTCGCTCTCTGGGAAATGCGGGCATGATTACCTTGTCAGTTAAGCATCAGCAACGGATAATTATTTGAAACTTACATATTTGTAATACTACTTCAAAAAATAAATAATTTCTAATAAAAATGTTATTCTTATAATACTGAAAATTTTTCGCATATCTATCGAAACCAGCTACAACCTAGTGAGAATCACGTATAAAAAACTAGCGACCGATAAAGGCTATAAACAGTTACCCAGATCTTCTCAGGGGACTCAAACGCAAACACCCTTCTGATCTATTCATCCCCAGTCATTAAAAATTTACGCATCCATACATTGCAATTAAAGCAACAAAATTCACTCTTGGTGATTGTCAGTAATAGTACCGAAATCCTCATCCTATTATATTTAACAATTGATACAAGAAATGTAAATATTTGTAGAAACACATAGAAACATTTAATAAAGGTATAATTCAAAAAAATGTTTATAAAATGCTGAAATAGATTTGCACATATGCGTCGATATTTATTTGATATTCGAATCCATCCTCAACAAATACAGTAACTTAACGTAAATTTATTTGTATGAAGCAGATTCAATCATCGTTGACGATCACGGATGAATTGCAAATTGAAGAAACCTACGTCAGTCAGGGAGTGACCCTATTACATGCAGATAGCGTGGTTCATCTGGCGTTTGACTAACCCACGTTTGTAAGTTTTTAACTTTATTCGTCGAAAATTTTAACGCTTTTTATTCGATTCACTGCTGCTGCAAATTTCCCAAGAGAGAAAACTGAATAGTCAAATATCGAGCATATCGATAGGTTTGGCTTTATCGATTAATTTTGTACTTTTTTTCATCCTCTGGGCAGCAGTAACACGGGATTAATTACTGGTAACGAAGAAAATACGATTAATTACCAGTGACAGTTCCGGTTTGCAGAAACGATGATTTAGTGCCGTCATAATGTATGGAGAATTGGATACATTTTACGAATTAACTTAAACCGCATTAGTACAAATCGGTAAAAATATGGTCTTATCAATATTTTAACAAAACAAGAACTTTTAATCGCCAGAAATTATACATACTGCAATGAAATTATGGTCCGCTTTATAATTCCAGGAAATATCTGTAATAATGTTTTCCATGACGAATTGGACGATATTTACATTCATTTGTAAACGTTTCATTGTGTCTTATAATTAGAACAGTTATATTTACCTAATGATATGAATGGTTTATGCTGTTCAAAATACAGAAGGTACAGTGGGTCATATAATTATTCGCTCACCGTTTAAAACAGAATACCTCATTTAAAATTAGACCAAATGACTTGAGCCTTTTTCAGAAGCTATAAAAATTCATTTACTAAGATATGTACTTTTGCTGTTTTAAAAAATTACAGTTTGTCGAAATCGTGAAAAAAAATAATGAAGATTTAAAATATGATGAAAATAATCAAAATTTAAAATATGTTTTTCGTAGATTCAAGTAAGTTATATGTATGCTGAAAATTTCATCGAGATCGGTCAATGCGCTGACTAGTCACGATCACGATTATCGGAAATTTTAATTACTTGTAACTTCTAAGCGCATTGACCGATCTCGATGAAATTTTCAGCATACACATAACTTATTTGAATCTACGAAAGATATATTTTAATGTTTCATTATAGACTCACATAGAAAAGCTGAAAAATTCCCCTTCACTATTCTTTTTTCATGATTTCGACAAACTGTAATTTTTTAAAACAGCAAAAGTACATATCTTAGTTAGTAAATTAATTTGTACAACTTCTCAAAACGCCTCAAGTCATTTGGTCCAATTTTAAATGAGGTATTCTGTTTCAAACGGTGAACGAATAATTTTGTGACCCACTATACATAATACAAGTGAGACGGTGTATCAAAACCTTTCATTTTGTCAATTAAATATTGCTCGTTTAAGGTTTCGTCTTTCAAAAGGACTCTTGGCGGACCTCTGACGAGTTTTTTTATGAAGTAGTAACAACCGGCAATTTCTCAGCGAAAATTTTATGATTTTTTGATATCAAATATATGTTTCAAATTCCAAATATCTTAAAATACTAACTTACCTGTAGACGCTTTCATCATACCACAGAAGAATTCGAACTGGTTGATTGATACTACGTTTTTTCACTTCGTGTACCGGTTCTATATGAACGCCATGAATAACCTGTAAAACAAAGAAGAGAAGGGAAATTAAAAGTGATTTTATTTAAAGTATTTCAAATAATATAACACGACAAATCAAACTATTTCTAATATTCATGATAAGTATACATTAGGTACTACACGTGTCTGGCATGCCCCACCTCAGCTAACACGTAAATACAGGATTACCTCGAAATAAGCAACTCGCTCGAGATCGAACAGTTGCTTATTACGAAGCAGGTGTGCTATTCGGCTTGACGAATGAGAGGTCGTCAAGATACGTCTTCAAACAAAGAAGACGGGATAGCGAATTGCTTATTTCGAAGTAGAGACCACTTGCTTATTTCGAGGCAATCCTGTACTTACTTTCGGTCGCAGTGTATTATTGGACCCCCCTTGTCATTATATCATCTTGACAGCCAATTTAGATGCGAACAACACATATAGAGCTACATATGAATATAAGGTGAACTTGTAGAAGAGCTACTCCCGCTCCGATTTTGATGATTTTAGGCTTCTGATACGTAGGAGCAGATACAGAGCGAAGCGGAGTGCCCTCACCGAGCACGGTTGCTTTGGTGAGTTCCTGTGCCGGATTGGTCGCCAGGCGACGGCTATATGCCACCACTGTGGCGCGGGGTTGGACTCCTTGGAAGACTGTCCGGTGTTTGCACGAGCCCGCCACGCCCTGCAGTGTGAGATAGGAGTTGATCTCTTGCCAGCGAGTGTTGTGAGAAACATGCTCGGCGATGAGAATCAATAGCGGACGATGACCTTCTATTGTGAGGAGGTCATCGCCCCGCAGAAGGGCACGCCGTCGGGGGAGGCCCCCCCCCCCCCCCCCCCCCCCCCCCCCGACGGCGCCGTTAGCTGAGGAGGGCGGGGCGGTGGGGCCTGACAACTTTGCCCATCGCTCCCAACAGGATGAGGGAGGGGAGCTTCAGCTTCTCCCCCAACGAAGATGTCAGAGGGATAGGACGGGGGGGGGGGGGGGGGGGGGGAGCTTCGGCTCCTCCCAAAGCAAGATATAGTGGGGGGAGGATCCGGCCTGGAAGTCCCATTTGAAGTTGGAAAGGAAGAAACGTCGTAAAAACGTTACGAAGTAGTGCGGAATATTACATGTTTTTCATTTGTGTCCAGTGCAATAGCAACGTGACAGTGAATAAAAATGTTTATTTACCCGAAAGAAAATTCTGTAAAAAGTGATAGTGACCGTGTGGTTGAGAAACTTCAATGATCTCGGCTGGAGATCAGCTGTTCTTCGTAATTCGTTTCCTTCTCGAATGTTCAAGATCCACACAGTGACCCAGTGGGAATTATCTGCTTTCAGCCTAGCAGGTTAATTTAGGAACGAATGGGTAAGTTTCATTTAAATTGTTTTCAAATTTTTATTAATTATTCCATTTCAGACATTTTTATTTGTTGTTTAGAATGTTTAGAATTTCCTTCTTTACATTATGACAAGCAACAAGAGATTAGATTACATATTTATTTTAACCAACAACTAAAAATGTTCAACCAGTTCAATTTCTTTATTGTGCTATGCCAACGGGGTGCCAAGCCGTTCGTTCGCGACCTACGTCAAGCCCCGCTTTCGTAGCCGACGCTGCCGTCCCTGTGCCCGCGCGCTGTACGTGCTCGGATTGGTCAGTGTTTTTCCTTAATAATTCAAAAACGAAGATTCAAACAACTTTTTTGCAAAAGGAAAAGTTGTTCAGAATCGTCCCAGCTACCACCCCTTCACAGGACCAATGCGAGTTCTGGGACACCCTGTATACAGGGTGTTCGACAACAGGTGGGCAAAATTTGAAGGGGTGATTTTAGGGATCAAAATAAGACGAAAATCAAGAATAACGAAATAACGTTTGCGGCTTTGTTTTCCAGTAATCAATGTTTTAAAATTCGAGTAAAAAGCGTCTGAAACCTGCAATCCGCCCAGCACCGTCGACTGAACGTCAGGTCAGCAGGGGTCGGTATAGTCATAACCAAGAATCGTTGTATAGTAGGATTTGTGATATCCAACGAGCCTAATTTTTTCTTTTTTCTTGCAATTATTGCAGGCGTTGGGCTCAGCCTTTTTGGTAAACCTTTCGGTTTATTCACAACAGTAACATATTGCTTAATTATAGCATCCCCCCTTCAGTTGTATGAACTTTTTCTATTTTGTGTGTTTCAGTTGATTTTAAGTTAATTTGCCACAACACAGTATAATAATTATCTATCAAATAATAATAAACTACACTGGTGAATTGACTTTGCACAAGTGCACGTCACTTTTTACTAACAGTGTATATCACAGTCTTGTCACTTTCTTCTTATACTTTCTTGTGAGAGACCTTAGATACGTCCGACTCGCATGAGGGTCGAAGGACGAGTGAGACCTTGCCGGCTCACCCACCGGCGATGTTGAAAAACCTTCTAATATTTTAGAAGATAAGGTGCGTAATTTTTAATTATTTACAATAACTTCACTTTCTCCATTCAGATCTTGCTTCATCCAACGCAAAAATATTAAAAATTACACAACCCACTAATTATATAAAGGGAATGTAAAAATTGAAGGTATTTCTCAAGTTATCGCACAAAATACGCCGAAAATGTAGATTTTTGAATTTTTAAAATACGATGCACCATACCTAAAAATCTGAAAAAAATTGAAGATAATAGTCATCCTAATATCTAAGTACTGTGAAAGTAAAAATCTAGTCGCTCGAAAACCTACCTGAAATCTGCATTTCTCGACATTTTTTTGAGTTTTTGATTTTTCACGCCTAGGATTCACAACCAAAAAATCTGAAAAAATTCACAGGAATAAATAAGTATGTCTAGAATATTATAGAATTTTTTCAGATTTTTTGCATAATGATAAATAGGAGAAATATGGCAAAAATGGTCATTTCTATCTTACCCTATAACAACTCTCCTGGTTGAGGTACAGAGTTGAAATTTGGTGTACCATGGTTTTTTGGGATAAGCTATGGAATGGTGCATTGGTAAGTAAAATCGGCTCAAGGGCACTTTTGACAATTTTATCCTGCTATACCCTTTGTTGCTGTATCAGAAAAGACACAAAGAATACAGTAACAAAAGTATGAAAATGTTCTGGCTACATTCGGAAATTTTGAAAAAAAACCTCGTGATCTTCCGTTTCCATTTCTCTCACAAGATTTGACTGACAACCTTATTGAATTTTGGATACATTTATTGGACGAATCCACCATCTTCTTCTTCTTCTACGATTTTCTTGTCTCTGTTTTCGTTGTTTTCAGTCTAATATTAATTGATGGTGCTATGTAATTGTGGGGAAGGCACTAAATTTATTACCCTTTTTTAATATGAAAATAGATTTATTAGCTAACACAATTCTTTCATAAGTTTTCTTATGACGCAATACATCTCACGACACACTCACGCATCTCTCAATCAATCCTGCCAAAACATTCATTCCTGCCAACCACTCACTTCTGCCAATCACTCATTCCTGCCAATCATCCATTACCAACCCAATCATTCTTCTCTCATTCAAACATAAAAACAAACCTCACAATCTCCCCCCTTTGTTTTTTAATCTCTAGCGCTCATAAAGTTTTTTACGTTTTTAAACAAAGATGGCCCATTTAATGGTTTAGTAAGACAATCAGCAGTCATGAAATCTTTAGCAACATGTAACACTTTGACCTTATAATATTTCACCATTTCCTTAATAAAGTAACACTTTCTGTTTAACAATTTTGTCTTTGTTTTAAAGTTCCCTCCATTTGCGAGTTTCACAGCGTTCAAATTGTCACATTTTAACTCATTGTTCTTCTCTTTATGTACTCCTAGTTCTTCTACCAGGTCGCTCGTCCATATGACTTCCTTCAATCCCTCCAACATCGCATCCAACTCACTTTCAGTTGATGATAAGGCGACCGTTGACTGCTTTTTACTCCTCCAATGTATGAGGTCATTATTTCTATAAACCAGCACGCCGCTAAATGATTTTGCATGTCGCGTGCTATCCCAAGAAGCGTCAGTCTCACATCTAATTCCTTTTCTCAAAGTCGTTTTTCCATATTCAATTCCATAATTTATTGTCTTCTTCAGGTATTGCAATACTCTTTTTAGTGCATTCATATGAATATTCTTGGGGCATTTACTAAACTGTGACAGACAGCTTAATGAGAAAGATATATCTGGCCTTGTTGAAACACTAAGATACATTAATCGTCCCAACAATTACTTCCTTCATCCTCACTTAATTTCTGGTTGATATCCATAGGCGAATTTACTTCATTAGCCCTCATTCCATACTGATTTAATAAATTTTCAATGTACTTTCTTTGATTGATGAATGTTCTTCCCTTTTTCTGATCCAATTGTATCCCCACTACTTGTTGAGCTTCTCCAACATCTTTCAAATCTATATATTTCTTTATCTCTCATATATTTTTCTTCGAATGCTTCTCCACTACTCACCAATGGTATATCATCCACGTGCACTCCACAATACAAAAAATCATTTCCCTCTACCACATAAAATAAGCATGGATCCTGAGTACATTGCTTCATACCTACTCTCAAAAATACATCAGTCAGATACGCATTCCAACATCGGCTAGCTTGTTTCAATCCATAAATACTCTTTTTAAGTTTGCAGACTTTCCCAGTTTTGTTCTCAAAGTCATTAGGCATCTCCATATACATCTCTTCATCCAAAGACCCATGTAAAAAGGCAGTTTTTGCATCATAAATTTTTTATTTTTTTCCTTTTTCCGCACATATGCTAATCAATATTCTTATTGTCTCCATTCTCACTGTTGGAGAAAAAGTTTCTTCGTAGTCATAATCTGGCGGTTGTCCGCAGCCCATTGCAACCAATCTCGCTTTGAACCCTTTTTCAAGTGTAACTGGGTCTTCTTTTACCGTGAATATCCATTTATTCTTTATCACACGCTTGTCGTTAGGCGGATCAACTAAATCCCATACTTCATGACAATGCATTGATTTCATCTCATCATTCATGGCTTTTCTCCACTCTTC